CCTTTAGCTTTTTATGCTAACTTTAGCTTTTTGCTGCTATATTAGCTAAAATTTTACTTTTTTGCAATTCGTGTGTTTTTCTGCTTTGTTATACTTTTTTCTGCTAATTTATGCTGTTTATGCTTCTTACAGTTGCATTCTGCTATGTTCAGCTATTTTAGCCTTTAGCTTTTTATGCTAATTCAGCCATCTTTTTGCTCCCTTTAACTGTTTTTCTGCCCTTTTTTTTTGCTTCCTTCAGCTTTTCATGTTTAACATGTTCAGCTCAATTTCAGCTTCTTCAGCAGCTTTCAGCTAAAGTTTTCAGCTAAAGGCATTCACACTAGCATTTTCGCAGGAAATGCAATTTCTCTGGTTAAAATTAGTTTATTTAGTTTAGCGGTTTTGTGTGACGTTTATTAAAACACGTAAATGTAAAGCACGGAGGAAACAATTATGAATAATCAAATATTACAGTTGAGTACAAAATGTAATAGCTATCCTAAAAGTTTTTCTTACTTATCAGACCCTAAATGCATGCTGTTTTCATTTCCTCCCTCAGAAAGTGAGGGAAGACATGAGTAATGAAGAATTCCTAAAAAGGACATAACGCTGACATTTCCMGAGTGTCCGTGAAGGCAGCATCACGCCCTAAATTTTCCAAACATCCGGGTCCTTCTCAGCTCGGGAGCGCAGCGGAGAGAGCGGTGGAAAGAAAGGACTGGATGACAGCTGTCAGTGGGGACAAAAACACTTCCAGTCCGTGAGGTGAAAGCGAATGGCTCCCCTCTGAACCTCCGGAGGTTAGAAGACAAACATCTTGTCGGCGTCGCTGCGAGTTTATTAAAAGTATCGTGAAGGTAAGGGGATAAAGCTGGAGCTTTGAAACCGAGAGGACCGGTCCGTCTCAGGGAGAGTCGAGGTTAGCATCCCCGGCTAACTTAGCTACCCATCAGGCTAACGGCTAGGCTAACTTGTAGCTTCACCACAATGTTTCAGAACCGGGATCTCTGCTGTCAGAAGAACTTATCAGGATACTTCTTGAGTTTTTAGACTGATTTAAGACAGGGGAAGARTTTGACAAGGCGTCTTTATTAAAAGAAGAAACGCTAAATAGCAGTTAGCATCAGAGGTGGCTAACCACAGAGTTACCTGCAAATATGCCTAGCTGAAACTTTTAGTCAAGATTTAAATCCATTAATTTCGTTATTGTCTTATTTGTCAAGATATTAATTGAGTGTGTAAAACAAATAACTGTGTGCTAACTGAACTGATCTGCAAATATTRGCTGTTTGAAGTTTAAACTKGATTTGTTTAGTTAACTAATTTCTYCTGTTGTTTGTCCAAAACATTTAGATGTCATCTCTTTTCAGCAATCTAGAGACCTGTTGTAAGTTATTAAAATAATATTAAGTAATCACGATGAGTTTGTTTCTGTTGATATTTTAAGATTTTTCTTGTCTGGGTAAAGTCATTTAAATTAATTTTGTTGGAATCAAATTATCCTATCTTTTGATTCATGTCTTATTATTTTTTCGTGAGCTGTTTAAATGAGTAAATTCGTGTTTATTTTGKTGTTTAAAGCCTTATTGTCTCATTAAAGCTGTTTTATGGGACCACAACAGTTGATGAAAAACCCTAATGGAGTTTTTAGGCYTGTATGTCCCCAGAGTGATGTTATTGTGGTGTTTGCATGCACAGTTACAGGAACTGAAAGTGAGGACAGCATTAATACACCAATCATCCTTGACTTTATGATCTTCGTGTTGAAAAAAAAAACGTGCATTCTGGCATCGATCTTATTTTAACACTTTGGRCAAACAAATCAAGAACATCCTTTGATGGCCTGACTGATCACAGCTCCTAAAATGAACCTAATAATCAATGTTTTATTGATTAAATAAAACCAGCCATGATGCATATAACTGTATCTGTAACAAGTCTGTGTTTCGTCCAGCCGCACACAGACCAGCTGAAGCTGCTGCAGACGCCAACATGGGGACACAAGGCACTGGTCGGAAGCGCGCTCCTTTGAAAGATCGGTTCTCGGCGGAGGACGAGGCATTGAGCAGCATCGCACGAGAGGTGAGCGTGCTGCGTCAAACGACTSTCGTGAAACATCACGTTTCCTCTAAATCAGAGGTTCTTAACCTTTTTGACCTCGGGGCCCAATTTATTGAACATAAAGAGACACGAGGTCCAGTCAGACATTACCAATGTATGGATCAAAATGATAATTATTATAAATCTTGGTTTAATTTTTATTGTATTTACATTTTATTGTATTGTATCATAACTAAACCATCATAACTAACATAACTAAATTAAATACACTTAC